GGGGGGCCGCGCCGAGGGGCCGCCCCTCACCGTGGGGTTGTGGGAGCTGGGTCCGCAGTCTTAACCGGGTAATCACCTCTGCGTCGCCTCGGGGCCCGGGCTATATTTAGCACCTCGGGAGGGGGACTGGGCTGCCAGGCAGCACTGCGCGAGCCCACGGGCCACACCAGCCCGGGGTCTGCTGGCCCATGTTGCTCCCAGCTCCCCACCAAGTGCTGCTCTTCGTCCTGGCACTCTGAGACTCTTCTTACTCTCTGGAGTGAGCAAGTGACGGTGGTGGGGTGGAGTGGGGCGGGAGCGAGGGGCCGGCAGGGCACAGGAATCCTTGTGCTTTCCAGCAGATCTGAGGAGCGGCGCTGGACAGGGCACAGTCCTCCTCCCTGCTCTGTCTGAGCACTAGGTGCCCAGGGAGCCCCTGAGCCCCTATGCTCTCCCAAGCAGAGCTCGGGGTCCCACTCCCCAGGGGAGGGAGGGTCGGGGCACACGTGCAGCTTGCAGCCCACCTCCTAGTGCCCCAGCTCCTCCTGGCCCCGGTCTGCGTAGCCCAGGCAGTGTCTGTGCATCTTGCAGACAGCCAGCTCCAGGGCCAGCTCTCTTACTGCCCCACAGCCCCAAGGGCCCCTCACCCGGCCAGGGTGAGACTCCTCAGCCCCAAGCCGGGGCAGCGTGGGGCTGTCTCCCGGGCAGGACGGCAGCGGTGAAGGCAGCGCGGAGCCCCGCGGGGTGCGAGCAGCAGCAGGGGCAGCAGTGCGCGGAGCCTCTGCTTCCTGCGGGGCTGATGGATAGGACTGGCCAGAGCGCCACGGGCACGTGGGCTCCAAGGCAGGCAGGAGGGGTGCCAGAGCTGGCTCCAAACCTGCCCCTTGTCCCTGTAGCAGCTGCCATGGGGCCCTGCAGGCACAAGCGGGAGTTTATGCAAGTGACACATGCTCTCTGGGGAGCTGGCCACAGCCGTCCCCTGTGCCCTTGTGCAATGGCCTTGGGGCGCTGGCGCCAGGCAGGGAGCCCTCTCCAAGGCTGCTCGGGCAGTTGTGCAGAGCTGTTTGCTGTGCTTCTGGGGTCATGTTTGGGGAGGAGAAGGGGGCATGTGCCCTTCCAGCCTGCACAGTGTGTGCTGGGGTTGGAGTCCAGTTGCAGGGGGAGGCAAAGCAGCCCGCAGCCCTGGCCAGGCGCTGAGGCCGCCTCCGTCCCTGCCTTGCAGCGTGAGTGCATCTCGGTGCACGTCGGCCAGGCCGGCGTGCAGATGGGCAACACCTGCTGGGAGCTGTACTGCCTGGAGCACGGCATCCAGCCCGACGGGCAGATGCCCAGCGACAAAACCATCGGCGGAGGGGACGACTCCTTCACCACCTTCTTCTGCGAGACTGGTGCCGGGAAGCACGTCCCACGGGCCATCTTTGTGGACCTGGAGCCCACCGTGATCGGTGAGTGCTGGAGCCCAGGCGTGCGGCCTGGGGTGCGACACCCACGTACTGCCCTTCTGCTTGGGAGTGCACACCCAGGGCACTTTCACTAACCCTTGTTAGTGAAATGTCCCACAGGCAGTGATACTTGCTGTCCCTGATGTCACACGTGCTGAAAAACCAACCCAACCGGCACAGCAGCTTCTGCTGCGTGGCAGCCTCTGCAGAGGGAGCTTCCAGCGGCCCGGAGGAGCTGAGCTCCTCTGCAGAGAGGTGGCTGCAGCCTCGTCATGCAGAGAAACCTGATGCCGTGGCCACGCTGATGTGTGCTGGCAGGTTCCCGGCCGAGCCCATAGCAGGCGGAGTTGTGATAAGGGAGCAGGGATGGCTCTGCTTGGGGGCCTGCTCGCAGCAAGAACCTCCTGCAGGCCTCCTGGTCTCAAAACTCTCCCATGATCTCTCCTAGATGAGGTTCGAGCTGGAATTTACCGACAGCTCTTCCACCCGGAGCAGCTAATCACGGGCAAGGAAGATGCTGCCAACAACTATGCCCGTGGGCACTACACTATTGGCAAGGAGATCATCGACCAAGTGCTGGACAGGATCCGGAAGCTGGTAAGTAACTGCAGAGGGAGCAGCTGGCCTGTCACACGGAGGTCTGTAATCCCCAATGGGCTGGAGCAGAGAAATGATCCTGCTGTGCCCTGGAGAAGGGTCTGTATTGAGCTAAGGCGTGAGATGGATCAAGTGCTAAAGAACCTCTGGACAAGTTAGATGTGGATGAAGAGTTTCATGCCAGAGATCTCATGTGGGTTCTCTCTGCAGGCTGACCAGTGCACAGGCCTCCAGGGCTTCCTGGTGTTTCACAGTTTTGGAGGAGGCACCGGCTCTGGATTCACCTCCCTGTTGATGGAGCGACTCTCTGTTGACTATGGCAAGAAGTCCAAGCTTGAGTTCTCCATCTACCCAGCACCCCAGGTCTCCACTGCAGTGGTAGAGCCCTACAACTCCATCCTCACCACCCACACCACCTTGGAACATTCGGACTGTGCCTTCATGGTGGACAACGAGGCCATCTACGACATCTGCCGCAGGAACCTCGACATCGAGCGTCCCACCTACACCAACCTCAACCGCCTCATTAGCCAGATAGTCTCCTCCATCACTGCGTCCCTGGTGCCCTGAACGTGGACCTGACTGAGTTCCAGACCAACCTGGTGCCCTATCCCCGCATACACTTCCCATTGGCCACCTACGCTCCTGTCATCTCTGCAGAGAAGGCCTACCATGAGCAGCTGTCGGTGGCCGAGATCACCAACTCGTGCTTCGAGCCGGCCAACCAGATGGTGAAGTGTGACCCTCGTCACGGCAAGTACATGGCCTGCTGCCTCCTCTACCGTGGGGACGTGGTGCCCAAAGATGTCAACGCCGCCATTGCCACCATCAAGACCAAGCGCAGCATCCAGTTTGTGGACTGGTGCCCCACGGGCTTCAAGGTGGGCATCAACTACCAGCCGCCCACAGTGGTGCCGGGGGGTGACCTGGCCAAGGTGCAGCGCGCCGTCTGCATGCTGAGCAACACGACGGCCATCGCCGAGGCCTGGGCTCGCCTCGACCACAAGTTCGACCTCATGTACGCCAAGCGAGCCTTCGTGCACTGGTACGTGGGAGAGGGCATGGAGGAAGGGGAGTTCTCCGAGGCGCGGGAAGACATGGCTGCGCTGGAGAAGGATTACGAGGAGGTGGGCCTCGACTCCTATGAGGACGAAGAGGAGGGCGAGGAGTAGAGGTGCCCCCAACAAAGGACCTTCCTCCTTTCCTTGTGTTAGCTGCACAGATCCTTGGCAATAAAACGTTTCAGAGTCTCCGTGTGTCCCACTAACCCTCCATGGGTTTCTTGCCAGGTCAGGTGTGTGGCGAGTGCTTCAGCTCTGCTGCTCTTGCTGCTATGCTTCCTCCTAGCGCGCTCCGCTCCAGTGCCTGCTTGCTCCCTGCACAGGTAAGAGCCCTGGACCCTCTCCTAGGGCTGCCGTGGCCATGGCGCTCCTCCCACTCTGCTCATCAGTGCATTAGCTTGAGCAGAAAGAAGTCTGTAGCATTGGGAGCCGCCCCCGAGTGCGGTGTCACAGGGAGGTGAGCGTTGCTGAAAGGGCAGAGCTTGGATGTGGGGCAGCTGCCTGGCCCCCCTGCCCTGGGGCTCAGCACACAAGGCCTCTGCGGTGCATTGGGGCCCCCCAGACGCGGCCTCCAGCGCAGCATGAATTGCAGCGTCTGCTTTACTACTGTGTTGTGGCGAGAGGGTTAAACGAGGGGGGCGGTCCCCA